GGAGGAAGATTGGCCTTGTATTCTATTCCGGCCTTCAGCTGGTTGGCTGAGGCCTGCTCATATCAAGGAGGGCCATCTGCCTTGCTCAGTGAATGTTAAATGTATTCAAAAATATCCTCAGAGAAACAGCCAGAATAATGTATAACCAAATATCTGGGCACCCTGTGACTTAGTCAAACGGACACATAAGGCCAGGCATGGAAGCTCACGCCTGTAGCAATCCCAGCACTTTGGGAGACCGAGGCGGGCGGATCACTTGAGGCCAGGAGTTGGAGACCTGCCTGGCCAACATGGTGAAACCCCATCTCTACCAAAAAAATAAAACATTAGCCGGGAGTGGTGGTGCACGCCTGTATTCCCAGCTACTCGGGAGGCTGAGTCACGAGAATCGCTTGAACGCAGGAGGCGGAGGTTGCAGTGAGCCGAGATTGCACCCCTGCACTCCAGCCTGGGTGACAAAGAGAGACTCTATCTCAAAAAACAAAACAAAACAAAACAAACAAACAAAAAAACAAAAATACCCTGACACATAAAATTAATTACCAACGGAGTTTTCTGAGGCAAAGAGTAGTAAAGCTCTTGCCTTTTTCTTCTTGCCTATGAGGTTGGTTCAGATTCTTCTAATAGCCAATGGTTGTTGGCCAATTTTACTCTGAATGACACCTTTCTTTCTTTTTATTCAGGTCTCCCCCTGTCACCCAGGCTGGAGTGCAGGGGCACAATCATGGCTCACAGCAGCCTTGCTCTTCCAGGCTTAACCAAACCTTTCACCTTGGCCTTCTGAGTAGTTACGGGCCTGCACCACCACATCTGGCTAATTTTTTTCTTTTTTAAAAAATTTTTAGTAGAGACGAGGTCTTGCTATGTTGCCCAGTCTAGTCCTGAACTCTTGAGCTCAAGCAGTCCTCTAGCCTTGGCCTCAGAAAGTGCTGGAATTATAGGCGTGAGCCACCGCACCCAGCCCTGAGTGACATTATTTCATATAAAATTCTCATCTCTGGAGGCCTTTGTATTTTTAGGGGTTTTGTTTTTCAAATGCTTTTCACCTCCTTCTATACTTGTTCATTTTTAAATGTTTCCTGGCAGAGCAATTAGTATTTTCTGGCTTACTAGGTGCTATTCGATTGCATTAGCTTTTGAATATTACCCAGCTAGTTGTGGAGTGGGGCAGTAAGCTCATAAAGAAGCAAGATAGTGGAATACACAAGTATTACTACGACTTTATGGATGGCACACCTGATTTTTGATCCATGTGGCTGTGTTCAGATCTGGTTAGCACACGATGACATCAGGTGCTGAGCCACCAGTGAGACTCAAACCCAGCAGCCCTGTCAGTCTACTTTCTCTCTTAACTTGATCCAGCCTCATAACTTCACTTTCCACAGGAGGAATACACCTCTTGAGGTCCTGTGTCACAAATAGGCAGTGTTTCTGGAGAAAGCCAGGAGGCAGATTTTAGTGCTGGTTAGCATCTGTGGCCTCTACTTTCTGGATTTGGTGCATTTTGGAGACCACAGAATGACATGAAATAGCTCAGTGCTGCCAGTGGCGTTGACAGGGACACTAGAGGTAAAGGAGGGCCCTTGGGGCAATTCCAGCAGGGGGGTGGTGGCTGAAAGTCCTAGTCTTCTTTCTACAGAGACTGGCCACTGCTTCATTCTTTCAAGAAGCGCCAAATCCCTACTTTAGTACTTTGCCTTGTAACAGCCCACTCATGATGTCAGGAGAATGAAACTCATGAGGCCTTCATTTACTTTTATCCTGTAACACCTCCAATTTTTCCCACATCCTCCCTTGATTCGTGGATGGACAACTATGGAGGCCAGTCTGGCTGAGGTGACGACTGCTTCAGTCAAAATTCTTCTCTGTCTCCTCAACCCCAATTCAGATTGGCCTGAGCAAAATGAATGTATTGATCCATAACTGAAAAGTCCAGAGCGGTCAGGCATCAGGCATGGCTGGATCCAGAGGCCCATATATTAGAACCGTCTCTTTCCAGTTCTGGGCTCTGCTAGCCTCCCAGTTGGTTTTACTGCACAGAGGTTTATTCAAGTCCAAAGAGATCTTACGTTTGTCTACAAGTCTGTGACCTTGATTCTGAACCTGTGTCTATGGGAAGGGGTTGCAGTGTCTGAGTGAGCTTGTACTGTGTAAACTCTCCCACTTCTGAAGCTGGGTGTGGGGTTCACTCCACTAAGCTACATGGCTTTAGAGTCAGGGGGCTGCCCCCTAAGTAGTTGGCAGTAATTGTTACCAGAAAAATCATGAATGGACATTGAGCAGAAAACTCAGCAGATGTTTATTTCCTGGTCTTGAGGATTTGTTGAAGAGTTTTTTGTTTGTTTGTTTTTTAAGAAAGACTCAAAGGAGGAGGCGGGAGAAACTATAGTTATTTTATCATGGTATAAAATGATTTTGTAGTTGTATATACATTTGAACTTTTTATAAGACATCTCCTACACCCCTAAAATTGGAAGTCATTTATTAAGACTTTGTATTCTGTAAGAGGATTGGAAATGAATAATTAAGAACATTAAAGAGGACAGCTGGGGGGCGGTGGGGAAGTGTGGTCTTGAAGGGGTAATAAACCTCCTTCCGGACACACACACACACACACACACACACACACACACAGGAAAGGAAAGCAGTGTAGCCCGGTAAGATAAGGTGGAGAATAAAGTTAGGGGTAAGGTTAATTCTACAAGTTCAAAGCCAGTAGCCCCTGATGCAATGCTGGACGTGAACTGTAAATTTGGCTCTGAGGTTCCCAGGCATGGGAGAATATCTAGATCTGTACAGAGAGGTTGTGTGTGTGTTTAACATTTCCATAAGGTACAATTTCCTCTAAGAATAAAGGCCATGAGGAAATGCCCGTGGAAGATAAAGAAGAGCATGTGGTCTGTGGCAACCACGGATTCATTTCTTTCCCAGCGCGTTCTCTGGGGCACTTTGGTAACTCTGCCTCTTTGCTCTCAGCGTTGTGTTAGAAAATAAAGCAAGCAGACAGGGATTAAACCCTCATGTTGCTGGGTTCCTTCTAGAAACAATTGGAGGGCTAACCAAGTCACCTTTGGTGGAAGGCAGTAATGTGAGTCACTGCTGTGGCTGGACTGAATAGGATAGCCTTAGCTGTAAAATTGGGCTGATCTTTCAAATGGACTCATGCTTGCCTAATGACTCACGCTCCTGTTTACAAATCAGCTCTGTGAAGAAATGCAGAGTGGGACGCTCTGCTTCCCAGAGGGAGACCTTAGACCTCCAGGGGTGGAGAACCAAGTACTTCCTCTGGTGCTCAGCTTCCCTTCCTGGGGGCAGATCTCTCAGCTTCTGGCAGTTAGTTGGTTGCTCTCAAAATCCAGACACAGGGTCAGCTGCAGCCAGCATGGGCCCTGGAGTAGTAGCTCCAGTTATGGGGCAGCAATGGCCGCCTCTCATTTTGGGAGCTCACTTTGCCTGTGGATGGTTTCAATCCATCTGGATAAACTTGGAGCCCATGGGAATACCATGTACTGTGGTAACCATGTACATTGCTCTAAAGACGTGGCTGCTGTTGTATACATTTTTCCTTTATTTTTATCAATTTCCTCTTTTCCAGAGTCTTCCATACCCACTATGTCTACTGTGATAGTGAACGTAAAAAACGTACAAGATGTTGGTGTTATCCTCAATCTCTTAGTCTTAATCCTGAACAAATTACGTGAAAAAATTGTTCATGGAGTTTTTCCTCGTATAAAACTTTTTGCAATGAATATAAAAGGCATAGCTATTTCTCTTTTTTAAAAAAGGAAAGTAGAATAATATTTCTTGGTTGCAAAGTCGCCCTTCTTGGACCCCAAGTTGTTTTTTACAGCCCTAAATTCTCTTGTTTATAGAGCCATAGACAGGCCAATGGGTCTCTACAGCAGGCACCTGCATGAGTTGACTGGGACCTGGTCTATATTACCCTCTGCCATTTACTAGCTGTGTGACCTTGGGCATGCTCCTTACAGTCTCTGAGTCAGTTTCCTCCTCTGTGAAATGGGCATGATACTACCTACCACATAAAGTAGGTGTGAGGATTAACGGAGTAAGAGGCACACTCCTGTCCAGGGCCCCAGACAGAGTAGGCTGTCAGTAAACTGTAGTAGTTATTGTGACAGGGTTTGAAATTCAAATTAACACATATTTCTTGAGCACCCAAGGTGTGTGCTGCCTGATCTTTCAGGGGGTCCAGGATTGGTAGTATAGTTGCTTTTCTCAAAAGACTGTCGCCTGGCAGAGGAAAAGGTGTTAAGGTATGAGTGAAGACAGATCAACCAAGCATGGTGCTGCTTGCCTGAGATCTCAACACTTTGGGAGGCCGAAGTAGAAGGATTGCCTGAGCCCAGGAGTTCGAGATCAGCCTGAGCAACATAGCAAGATTCTGTCTCCACACACACAAGAATAAAAAGATTAGCTGGGTGTGGTGGTGTGTACCTGTAGTCCTAACTGTTTGGGAGGCTGAGACAGGAGGATTGCCCAGAAGTTTAAGTTCAGTCCGGGCAACATAGCAAGACTCCATCTCTTTAAAAAAGAAAAAAAATCAGCTCCCAAAACAGCTGAAGTATTAAGTGGAACCATATGTAGTTGTATTTTTGTGGGACAGAAATACCAGCAATTTCACATAACTAATAGATTCAGTAAGGTAAGTTGAGAGAGAAAATGCTAGCTAGGTGATTCTTGAGAGGCTCAGAGGAAGGGGAGGCCATGCCCATTAGGAGAATGGTGGGTAGGGGTGAGAATACAGAACAGGAAGGCTGCCTGGAGGAGGCTGCATTTCAGATGTTCCTAGAAGGGACCCTGAGCTGGATGGCAGGGAAATGGGAGAGTTCTGATTTGCGCTGGGAACTATAATCCCTCTTGCTTGGAGCTTCTGTAGAAATGTGGGTTAGGGTAGAAAGGAAGGCTGGGGGCTGTGTGTGCCTTGGTGACGTGTCCCCCTCACTCCCGAGCCTTACTCTGTTCCCCTTTCTTCCTGGCAGCAGAGCCCCCTCCCTTGCTGCACTCAGGGACATGACTGTCAGCACTTCTACCCCCCCTCAGACTTCACTGTCAGCACTCAAGTCTTCAGGGACATGAAAAGGAGCCACTCCTTACAAAAAGTTGGGGAGCCCTGGTGTATTGAGGTAGGTCTCGGAGCAGAATGACGGTATGAGATGAGTTAGCTCTGAAATGAAGCCACCCATCCAAAGTTTACCTCTCTCTAGGGCAGGGCCCATCCACTGCGGTCCCTGAATTCTTGGCGGGTCACTGTCATTTCGGGTGCCATGATGTCTGGGTGTGCTGACCACTGATAGGGATATCATAGCCATAAAAACGCCTGTTTACAAGGAGAGGGTGGAGGGTGGTGCTCCCATGCCTCCAGGATACCTGGCTCCCAGTGAAGGCCTCGTGATCCAGTGCCACACGTAACTTCCGTGAAAATGAGGAACACAACATTGTCCCATTAAACTTGGCCCCAGGAAGTGTCTCCTGGGACTCTTCACAGTTCGCAATGGAGAAGCTACCACCTCAACTTCGCCTTCGTTACTAGTAATTTAGAACTTAAAGATTTTCTTTTAAAATTCAGGGTGCTGGAAAATGCCCGCTTTGCCTCGACAGTACCTCCCAGAGGCAGCCGTGAATGGCTTTACTTGCAGGTGTTGCTCTCCAAAGGACAGGAAGCATTGTTAATTTCCTTTAAATAATTCAGTACAACATCAATCCCCCACACTGCTCAGTGCTTGGGAGTGGCAGTTCTCTTCAGATTAGTAGTCCTAAAGAAAAAAGAACATCTAGAACATGCTTTTATCTTGAGAAAAGCAAAAGTCAATGCAGATGAAAAATTTTCAAGGAACGCTTAGATTTAAACAGCAAATGATTTAGTACTAATGTTAGCTTTTAGAAAAAGAAAACTGAATATTTATGAACCGATTAATAAAGCCTCTGTTTTTAAAAACATTTATTGTATACCTACTGGGTGCTGTGCGATGTGTTAGAGCCACAGGAACAGAAAGCAGTGTCTCCAGCAGGCAGAAACCTGGAGTGATATATATGTACGTAAGTCTTGCTGTTGGAGAGAGAAAACACGGAATGAATCATCTTTAAAAGTTTGTTCTGGCATAGGAAGTGATAAATAGCCATATAAGAGAACTAGAAACTGTAAAAATATATAAAGAAAATGTAAATACCTATATTCTTATTACCTATTGATAATCTCTCTGTTTTTTTTTTGAGACGGAGTCTCGTTCTGTTGCCCAGGCTGGAGTGCGGTGGCGCGATCTCAGCTCACTGCAACCTTTGCTTCCCGGGTTCAAGCGATTCTCCTGCCTCAGCCTCCTGAGTAACTGGACTACATGTGCACGCCACCAAGCCCAGCTAATTTTTTGTATTTTTAGTAAAGACGGGGTTTCACCGTGTTAGCCAGGATGATCTCGATCTCCTGACCTCGTGATCCGCCTGTCTCGGCCTCCCAAAGTGCTGGGGTTACAGGTGTGAGCCACCGCACCTGGCCTTTTTTATTTTTCAATTTTTTTTTTGAGATGGAGTCTCACTCTGTCTCCCAGGCTGGAGTGTGTGATCTTGGCTCACTGTGACCTCCACCTGCCAGGTTCAAGAAATTCTCCTGCCTCGTGAGTCGCTGGGATTACAGGTGTTTGCCACCACACCCGGCTAATTTTTGTATTTTTAGTAGAGACGGGGTTTTGCCATGTTGGTCAGACTGGTCTTGAACTCCTGACCTCAGGTCATCCGCCTGCCTCGGCCTCCCAAAGTGCTGGGATTACAGGCGTGAGCCACCATGTCTGTCTGATAATCTCTCAATATTTGGATATGTTTCCAAATTTCTAATCATTCATGTGCACAAAATTGGGATTATACCTCATAAGGTTTTGCAAATTCTTTCTACTTTTAATTCTAGGAACAATTTTGATATTATAACATACCTAATTCTCTTTAGTAACTTCATGTACTAAAGTGGAAATCCTCTGGTCCAGCTATTCCCTGTTAGCCAAATGTGCGTAAAACTGAAAATGTGGCTGGGTGCAGTGGCTCACACCTGTAATCCCAGTACTTTGGAAGGCTGAGGTGGGCAGATCACCATGTCAGGAGTTCGAGACCAGTGAACCTCGTCTCTACTAAGAATAACGAAAATTAGTTGGGCGTGGTGGCACGCGCCTGTAATCCCAGCTACTCGGGAGACTGAGGCAGGAGAATCGCTTGAACCCGGGAGACAGAGGTTGCAGTGAGCCGAGATTGCACCACTGTACTCCAGCCTGGGCAACAGAGTGAGACTGTCTCAAAATGTTTCTGGAGTCTTTCAGACTTTCGCTGTCTTGCACGCTTGCCTCTGATCTTGCATGTTCTTGGGCCATGCCTATGTCTTGATTACCTGGAGCTACTGCCTGTGTGTGTAAGGAGCATGCCCTTTAACTGGCCTGGGTCTGATAGAGCAGGGAGGCCCCCTTTCTTCTGCATTAGCCATGGCCTGGTGGAAGATTTTTTTCAGTAGCCTGTAGTTGGTTCAGCTTTTAATAAGCATAGCTGTTCATTCTGGCTATTTACGTTAAGATGATATGAATATAGCTATTCTCCCATCAGAGCCTGGCACATGGTAACTCATTAATCTTTGGTTGGCGGCAGGAGGCAGATAAAGGAACTGGGCACCCATTTTAAGTATGAGGAAAACGAAACAGAAAGACTGGGTTTCTTCCTTATAACTCAAGATCCTCAGGAGCTGATTAGATCCCTGGCGCCAGTGACTGAGCATTTCTCAGCCTTGTCCTCAGAACCCAGCAGCATCTCCCAGGGACGTGCCAAAATGCCACGTTTCCAGGATGTCATCTAAATCTGTAAACCGTGAATAGGTGAGATATAAAGATGCCACTTAATGGGCTGTGCCACCTTGGGCAAGTTACCCGACTGATCTGTGCTTCAATTTCTCCATCAGTGATAAAGGTTCACATACGGGCTGTATATAAAGGGAGTGCTTGGTGAGAGAGTTGGTGGGCTCAGACTGGTGCAGGCAATTAGCAGGATTCTTGAGGAATCACACCCTGATGGTACGTCCGTGTGATGGGCTGGTCGCTGCTGGAGTAGCTCAGTTATGTGTTCCCTGTAGGTTTTCATGGAAATTCACATGTAACATTCCTAGTACCTACTTCAAGAATTTTGGTGGTGGCTGGGCGTGGTGGGTCACACCTGCAATCTCAGCACTTTGGGAGGCCGAGGCAGGCGGATCACAAGGTGTCAGGAGTTCAAGACCACCCTGGCCAACATGGTGAAACCCTGTCTCTACTAAAAATACAAAAATTAGCCAGGCGTGGTGGCACATGCCTGTAATTCCAGTTACTTGGGAGGCTGAGGCAGGAGAATTGCTTGAACCTGGGAGGCAGAGGTTGCAGTGAGCCAAGATAGCACCACTGCACTCCAGCCTGGGCAACAGAGCAAGACTCCCTCGGTGGGGGGGTGGGGGCAGGGGAAGAATTTTGGTGATGTCTCAAAATCCTGATCCCACAGCATGGGTGTGATAGAAATAGCTCTGCAGAGTGTGGTGGGGACCTCCTGTGACTGGTCATAAGAACTAAGTTTGAGTCCAACTCTCACTTTTTTGGCAAGGTGCTTCCCCGCTCTGTGATGCAATTCCTGCATCTGCAAAAAAGGGGGTGGTCATGGGATATTCCCCCAGTCTGCTCCACTGGGTACCTACAGAGATCCCTTGACATTTAACACAGGCTTCCTGTGATCCAGGAACTATTGTAAGAATTACTGTAACTACCTCCTATATTAACTTTTCCAAACCTTGATAGCAACCTTATGAGGGAGGTGCTGTGATTATTCCCATTTTGCAATTAAGGTAACTGAGCCAGAGAGAGAGAAAGCAACATCCCTGAGATCACACAGCTGAAGAGTGATAGCTATAAAATTACTGGTAATGAAGGGCCATGGTTATTGGCCATGGTTCAGAGCCGTGATACCAGCCATCTTCCACTTGTTCAGGGAGAACGTGTTTGATCCTTTTCTTCACTCAGCCACCTTAGGAGTTGGGAGGAAATTTTGGTTCAGGATACCTAAGTTCTTACAAGTCTCAACAGTTGTACTTTCTGTCCCATCCACATTTCAAATTCATTGTCCCTTCTCTTTCTTTCCATGTAATTCAGCCGGATTCGAACCCTTTAGATCCCTTCCTCTAGGGAATTAAGGTTGGTAGACCAGCTGAGTAAATGTGACTCAGAAAGTCAATATCCACCTGGGCAGGGATGAGTCATTTCTTTCTAGTTAGCTATTCATGTACATTTTAAAGCTCGCCACACAAAGTCATTACATTGAGGCTATTAACATGTTTAATAGTGACAATAATAGGGTGTGACCCATGGCATATAACCGCATTCAGATAAGAAGAAAGAGTTTTCTTTTTTTTTTCTTCCTGTAATTGCTCAGTCAATACCATTTTCACGGAAATACTTGCAAACAAACTTTTAAAAAGTTCTTTGTCCAAACCCTTCCCTGATTCCTTGTTTCCTTCCTCTTCAGGGGTTCTATAAACTTTTCCTGATCAGTGGCCGGGGATTAGCGAGATGGTGCACTCTGTCCTTCTGATTTTGTGGTTGACCTACCCTTTTGCTGGTGTTCAGCCAGTTTTTATTGCATTTTTTGGGGGTGTGTGTGTGCGCGTGCACACGCATGTGTGTATTTTCAGGAGGGGGCACATTATTGCTGCTACTTGCTTGTTAACCTCTCAATCTAGAAATTTCAGGGAAGAAGAGACTTCCGCTAAATTTGCCAAGCTAGACGCATAAACAAGGAGTTAGCCATTTTGGTGAGAGGAAATGAAACTTTTCTTGGGTTTATTAGACCACATCCTATGTGGCTTATTATATGTCTGATTTCTAAAAAGCATGTCATCATGGTCAAAGTTTTATTTTTGCTTGTTAGTCATTTGAAACAAATATAGATATTGCTTCATTTCCTGGGTACTGTATTTTTCAGTACGTGATATGTATGGAAAATTTGGATCTACACAATGAAGTGCACTAGAAGGGAAGTATTTGCTAATTTATAAGTCTCTACATTATAACTTTGGATTAGCAAGCATTCTGCTAACTAAACATTTTCATTTATCTCCTACCCCTGATTATATAAAGAAGCA